AAAAAAAGAGAGAGATACCGTTTCAGCTGTCGCACATTTTATTTTCGAACAGCGGCATTCCATTTAATTTCTCTGCCGGTCCATCTCATTCACTTTCATTCCCTCCTACAGATGATTTCCCATTCATTGCCTTATGATTGGGTCAACATTTATTGATGAGTCGCTGCCAGCGATAACATTGAAAATGAATTTGCTAGTTAATTCATGCGTACCATGTTCTCCAACACATTCTTTTATGGGTGCTGTTTGTTATGCATTATCAATTACTGAACACTCGATACGAGATACTCTTCAAAATTCACCAGCCAGCTCGTGAACAAATGGAAATGAAGTAAGCCAAACGGGTTTTTTTTTGCAGATCGGTTGCATAATTTTAAAATGGTGACAAAAATTCTAACCAAGTATGGTAATATGATTCCCCTCCTGGAATTTAATTTCCGTATGCATTTTTCGATAAAAAAATTATTCGGAAATATTTGATTATATTGAGTAATTTCATAAACAGACGAAAATTAAATTGTATAATTAACACTAAGAAATTTAAAGTGAAGGTTAAAAATGAAAGCAGTGTTATTCGAATGTTAACATACGTGCCATTGTTTTCGCTATATAAAAAAACGACAATCGCCACGCTAATTAGGAATAACATTCGAAATCAAAGAAGAACGGCCACCATAACACAGTGCACAAAATGCTAATTATAACTAGAAGATAACGCTCCTATAATTGAAATCAGTATAATTAAATACCTCAATACACGATGATTGAGCACGGCATAATCATAAGCACGGTATCTTAGTATGGTTATAAGCGGATAATTTATTTTCACAAAACACGCATTTGGCGTGTTTTGCAGTCAGGCTTCTGAAAACAATGAAGATATTGCCGACCCCTGCGACGGGCAAGGAATAAAATGACCACCAGTCCTTATTGCAGAATTTCACATGGGTTAATGCCAGAAAATTTAGGGATGTGGTGATTTTTAGGTCGTGAATAGACTAAAAGGTTGTGATTCGTTATGAAACCACCTGCAGATTTATGCTTTGATTTTACACAAGCTGAAAAAACAATTTGATCTACTACCTAACAACTGGACATCCACATTCGGTCTTTGTTGACGTGTTTGTCGTCTGTTTCACGAGCCATCTAAGCTTCCGCCTTAAGCATGATGAGTTTTACTACCACATATGTGAGAAAATGTCATATGTGCAGCTCATTAAATGACATTCCCGCCACACGTTTGTAGTAGAAATGTAATGACCTACTCCACTATATTGTTCTAGAGATTTTTAACATTTATAAAAGATTACCTGCACATTTACTCACACAGGGTGAAAAAACCCAAATTCTGAACGACCACGTAACAATTGGGACGCTGCCATTCTGTGTGTGTTGATGTGTTCGCGTCGACGTTCCAGGAGCCGATCATGCACCCTCTCGCCGTATGACACGTTTCCTATCCACTTTGGAGAAACGTCCACAGATGCGTTTAGCATTTTTATATCTTCGTTAATATAATATTTCCACTAGACGTTTCATAGGCTAAAATATAATATTCCGACTCGACCAATCTCCTACATGTCCAATGTTCCAAAGGTTCACTCTGAACAACCTTCACATTCATGTTTCGAGTTTCAATATGTTCAAAAACCCAATTTGTATCGACATCTGACATTCTTATTTGACTAATAATTGTTGACGTGATGATGTGTTCGCTCCGGCTGTTCAGGAGCAGGTCTTCGCCGCTACGACGCGTTTCCTATCACTTTGGAGAAACGTCACAGATATATAACTTTCGCACTAGACGTTCATAGGCTTAAATGTGATAATATTAGGACTCCACATCTCCTACATGTCCAATGTGTAGATTTTCCATTCTGAAACACCTTCACATTTATGTTGTCGAGTTTCAATATGTTCAAAACCAATTTTGTAATCCGGGAAAACATCTGACATTCTTATTTGACAATAATTGTCATGTGATTACGATGCTCGCCTGCTGTTCGAAGGAGTCCGCGCCAAGAAACCGATCGCGGGTGATGTGTTTCCTATTCACTTTGAGAAGAAACGTCACACGCCGCTATTTAGTGCGACTTTCGGTTATATAAACTTGCCCACTAGACGTTCATAGGCAAAATGTGATAATATTCGACTCCACGACATCTCTACATGTCCAATGTTCAAATGTTCACTCTGAAACACCTTTGAACATTATACTTTGTTTCACCAGTCAAAAATCCAATCGATGAACCTCTGACATTCTTATTCTGACAATAATTGTCATGTGATGACGTGTTCGCTTGACTGTACCAGAGACCGGCCATGCCTCCCTCTCGCCGTATGCATACGTTTCCTATCACTTTAGATAAACGTCAACAGTGCAATTTAGTGGATCTTTGTTTTATATTTCCCACTAGACGCTTCATAGGCTAAATGTGAATAATTTCGACTCCACCAATCTCCTACGATGTCTAATGTTCAGATGTTCGTTATGAAACATCTTCACATTTACGTTTTCGAGTTTCAATAATATTCAAAAATCCAATTCACATTGGACACCCTACATTCTATATTCAACAACCATCGCCACGCGTTGACTGCTCGTCGGCTGTTGCAGGAGCCGGCCAAGCTCCCTCTCGCCGTATGACACGTTTCCTAATCACTTTAGATAAATACGTCACTGGTGCAATTTAGTGGTATTTCCCACTAGACGTTCGTAGGCTAAATGTGATAATATTCGACTCCACCCAATCGCCTTACAATGTCCAATGTGGCAGATATTCGTTATGCAACACCTTCACATTTAAGGAATTCGAGTTTCTAATAAAAGTTCAAACCCCAATTCGTGTGACATAGACCATTTCTAATTTCGACAACCATCGCCACGCGTTGGACGTGCTCGCTCGGCTGTTGCCAGGAGCCGGCCACGCCCTCCGCCGCGGACCCGCGGCGCCCGCCCCGCTGCGGTGGGCGTGGAGGCCGGCGCGGCGGCGGCGGCGCCGTCCCTGAGCGACGACCCTGCAGGCGCTGACCTGGCCTCCTTCGCCTGCTGCCGGCGCGCCCTCGCCGCCGCCGCTAGCCGCGCCCCGCGCCCCTGCGCGCCCCGGGCCCCGCCCACGGGCCCTCGCGCCAAGCCCAGTCGTCGACCCGCAACTCCTACGCCAGGTGAGGCCCCCGCGCACCCACACTTCGCTCATGACCACGGAAAAAGGGAGTATTCAAAATCAAGGCAAAAATGGCTTAATAATAACAGTAATATAACAGTAAATAATAACAGTAATAAGTAATAAAGTAATAATAAAGTAATAATAAAAAGTAAATAATAAAATAATAATATAATAAAAATAAATAAAAATAAAATAAAATAAATAAAAACTAAATAATAACTAATAAAAACTAATAAAATAATAATAATAAAAAAATAATGAAAAAAAAAAAATTAAACCAATAATAATATGGAGAGAAATAAAAAAAAACAATAATATTGTTCAAAATTTGTAATATAAGCTGTACTCTGTAACTTTACAAATTCTACGTTAACAAGTTTGCACGTTTTAATTGCCACTCGCGATCGGCTCTTCTTTCTCTCTTGTCAACAAACTTCCTGGCGACGCTACCGCCATCTCGATCATGCTAACGCGAGAACCCAAAGATGCGCCTCGATGTGAATCGATCTCAAATAATAATAATAATAATAATAATAATAATATAATAATAATAATAATAATAATAATAATAATCAGTATTCTGCAAAAACGTGAAGTTAGACATGGTAAAACCATATTTATGAAAATCAGGGAAGTATTTCATGTCAACACAGTCGTCAAACGTCGGGTTCATTTCAGGGCAGATCTTCCCTGAAACGGATGATTGATGAAGTTTATGATTGTCATACACCTTTGTAATTTTCAATTACAGAAAATATTTTCTGCATGATCTAAGTGTGACAATGATACCGGTTGCGGACAAATTGTACCAAAACAGCCCATACATCGGTTGCACACATTTTCCAGGATGAGAATACACGAGTAGGCATGCTGCACTACTGATACAATACACCAAAAATTGGGTCAGAAGTAGCACACATCTGAAGCGCGAAGCTCCGTACTATGCTTATAATAGTGTTTTGGAGAATCTTTGTTTTGAGCTGTACTGGGATATAAATTCTCAAGACAGAACAGTCATCAGTAATCGATTTGACATTGTTATGTTCATAAATAAAACAGGTAAGTTGATATTATTGAGACCTCAATCAAACGTAGCCCTCAAGCCGAACTACCTACGCCTAACAACCATTGGCCAGGGACCTTCTGCGGTACATACATACGGTAGTCCATTCGAAGAGTAACACTGTCAACCAGCTATACGTTTACTGGATTTGTGGTTGAAAATGCTCCGTATTAATGTCAGGCGGAAGAGCAGGGTAAATGAGCCTCGCCATCAATAAAGAAATATATTTTAATATTATTGTATTTACTATTACTTTTTATTTACTTTTTTTATTACTTTTATTTATTTACTTATTTATTACTTTTATTTATTTACTTTTATTTATTTACTTTATTTATTTACTTTATTTATTTACTTTTATTTATTTACTTTTATTTATTTACTTTTATTTATTTACTTTTAATTTATTTACTTTTATTTATTTACTTTTATTTATTTACTTTATTTTATTTACTTTTATTTATTTTTACTTTTATTTATTTACTTTATTTTATTTACTTTTATTTATTTTACTTTTTATTTATTTACTTTTATTTATTTACTTTTATTTATTTACTTTATTTTACGTTTATTTTATTTTATTTATTTACTTTTATTTATTTACTTTTTATTTAATTTACTTTATTTTATTTACTTTTTATTTATTTACTTTCATTTATTTATTTCCATTCATTTACTTTCATTCATTTACTTTTATTCATTTACTTTTATTCATTTACTTTTATTTACTCGCACAGAACAACATCCCATAAATCTAAATAGTGTTTGTTCGTTTGTTTGGCCGCAGCTTCAAGGCTGCGCCGCTGGACGACGAGCGCTGACGCCGTGTCGGGCGGCGCGGCGGGCGGCGGGGGCGGCGCGGGCGCGGCCGCCGACGCGAGATTGCGCGACTTCCTGGCGGCTTCGGCTCATCTCCGGCGACACGGGCCGGGGCCGCGGCCGCACGAGCGCACGCGCGCGCCATGGACGCGCAGGACAAGAAAGCGCGCGACGCGCACGCGCTCGGTGAGTAGTAGAAGAGCTCATAGTATGTGTGTGTGCGTGTGCGTGCGAATGTGTGAGTGCACGTATGTGTGTGGTGAGCGTGCGAGTGTGAGAGTGCACGTATGTGTGTGTGTGAGCGTGCGAGTGTGAGAGTGCACGTATGTATGTGTGTGTGAGCGTGCGAGTGTGTGAGTGCACATATGTGTGTCTGTGTGTGTGTGCATGTGCGTTGGAGTGTGTGAATGCACGTATGTGTGTGTGTGTGTGTGTGTGTGCGTGCGAGTGTTACAGTATTATGGTGTAGATTTTGTGAAAAAAAGTAAGTGCTCCACTCTGTGACTGACCAACTTCGAACATAAAATAATAGCTGTTGGAATAATATAACCTAATTTTATCATGTATCTATAAGTATACAAGTATCATTCCTTTTAAATATGCACGTAGAATTAATATTAAAGAAGTAATTTGATGCTGAAATATTCCAGATGTAAACGAAATATAATAGTATTTAACTCTTTTGATTTATATCCAAGATTTCATGCTTCAGTGAGTGAATTCGATTAGCATATGGCACTGTTATACTGAAGTTTGCGGATTTAAATTCAATGAAGCTGTGAATTTGTAAGTGCGAAGAAGTCACCGAACGTCTTCCTTTGTAAGGGAAGTAATTGCTGTCCATGGTGTAGATTCACTGTATGTAAAATATTCTTACAGAAGCTCGAAAATGTACGCATCCCCAACCGTTACCCCAGAAAATCAGCATCGGTGTAAAGTAAAATTTTCAATCCACCACAGACCATGACCATTTGTAATTGGAAAAAATCCACCTACGTCTTAACTTCAAAGGAGAAGTAAAGCCGGCAACCCATGTTGTAGCTTTACTGCACGTAAAATTTTCCAAACCTAAAAGACGCCTCGAAAAGGCACGACTATTTCCTCAGAAAATCAGTACGGTAAAATTAGCAATCCAACCCATACACCACGACCCGCTTGTAAGTACCAAAATCCACAGATCGCCTTTCATCAGAGGGGAAGTAAAACGGCTTATCCCGTGTTGTAGATTTACTGCATTTCAAACTTTCTCATTGTCGTCGACTTTCTCCCAGAATAATTCCAGCACTGTATCACGTAAAAGACCAACCCCCCACACCCCATGACAGCGTGTGCCCGTGTACAGACTTCCCCACGGACATGCTGACGGGCGAGCAGCTGGACGTGCTGCGCAACCTGGGGCTGCTGCGCGACGGCGGCGGCGCTGAGGAGGCGGAGGGCGGCAGCGGCGCAGCGCGCGCACCATGGCCCCCGACGAAGACCAGGAGGCGGCCGAGGCGGCGCGGCGCGCGCCTCCAAGAGCACGTGTTCAACCCCTCGCAGCACCTGGCCGCGCTCAAGCCCACCGCCCGACGAGGTGAGGCTTCTCGCTGGATGCGGTTCGCGCTGCACTTGCGGAATATCTACGTTCAGCCTTTCAATTATCCATTCATCCCCATACGTTTATTTTTTTACCCATCCCTACACCATTTATCTACCAACTTACCCACATCTCTTACTTCCCGATTTACCATCAATCCGTCCATCATAATTCACAATAATTGCGCGTCAAACCGACCCGACCAAACAACCACCGACCCGACCACACCACCGACCCGACCACACCCCGACCACGACCCACCGACCACAGACGCGACCCACCAACCACCACCGACGCCCGACCGACACCACCGACCCGACCAACACCACCGACACCGACCACGCCACACACGGTGGTGTGGTCGGGTCGGTGGTGTGGTCGGGTCGGTTGACGCAATTATTGTGAATTTATTGATGGACGGATTGATTGGTAAATCGGGAAGTAGAGATGTGGGTAAGTTGGTAGATAAATGGGTGTAGGGATGGGTAAAAAAATAAACGTATGGGGGATGAATGGATAATTGAAAGGCTGAACGTAGATATTCCCGCAAGTGCAGCGCGAACCGCATCCAGCGGAGAAGCCTCACCTCGTCGGGCGTGGGCTTGAGCGCGGCCAGGTGCTGCGAGGGGTTGAACACGTGCTCCTTGGAGGCGCGCGCCGCCGCCGCCTCGGCCGCCTCCTGGTCTTCGTCGGGGGCCATGGTGCGCGCGCTGCGCCGCTGCCCGCCCTCCGCCTCCTCAGCGCCGCCGCCGTCGCGCAGCAGCCCCAGGTTGCGCAGCACGTCCAGCTGCTCGCCCGTCAGCATGTCCGTGGGGAAGTCTGTACACGGGGCACACGCTGTCATGGGGTGTGGGTGGGGTTGGTCATTTTACGTGATACAGGTGCTGATTATTCTGGGAGAAAGTCGACGACGAATGAGAAAGTTTGAAATGCAGTAAATCTACAACACGGGATAGCCGGTTTTACTTCCCCTCTGATGAAAGGCGATCTGTGGATTTTGGTACTTACAAGCGGGTCGTGGTGTATGGGTTGGATTGCTAATTTTACGTACTGATTTTCTGAGGAAATAGTCGTGCCTTTTCGAGGCGTCTTTTAGGTTTGGAAATATTTTACGTGCAGTAAAGCTACAACATGGGTCTGCCGGCTTTACTTCTCCTTTGAAGTAAGACGTAGGGTGGATTTTTTCCAATTACAAATGGGTCATGGTCTGTGGGTGGGATTGAAAATTTTACTTTACACCGATGCTGATTTTCTGGGGAAACGGTTGGGGATGCGTACATTTTCGAGGCTTCTGTAAGAATATTTTACATACAGTGAATCTACACCATGGGACAGCCAATTTACTTCCCTTACAAAGGAAGACGTTCGGTGACTTCTTCGCACTTACAAATTCACAGCTTCATTGAATTTAAATCCGCAAACTTCAGTATAACAGTGCCATATGCTAATCGATTCACCACTGAAGCATGAAATCTTGGATATAAATCAAAAGAGTTAAATACTATTATATTTCGTTTACATCTGGAATATTTCAGCATCAAATTACTTCTTTAATATTAATTCTACGTGCATATTTAAAAGGAATGATACTTGTATACTTATAGATACATGATAAAATTAGGTTATATTATTCCAACAGCTATTATTTTATGTTCGAAGTTGGTCAGTCACAGAGTAGCACTTTACTTTTTTCACAAAATCTACACCATAATACTGTAACACTCGCACGCACACACACACACACACACACACATACGTGCATTCACACACTCCAACGCACATGCACACACACACAGACACACATATGTGCACTCACACACTCGCACGCTCACACACACATACATACGTGCACTCTCACACTCGCACGCTCACACACACACATACGTGCACTCTCACACTCGCACGCTCACACACACACATACGTGCACTCACACATTCGCACGCACACGCACACACACATACTATGAGCTTCTTCTACTACTCACCGAGCGCGTGCGCGTCGCGCGCTTTCTTGTCCTGCGCGTCCATGGCGCGCGCGTGCTGCGTGCGGCCGCGGCCCCGGCCCGTGTCGCCCGGGGAGATGAGCCCGAAGGCCGCCAGGAAGTCGCGCATCTCGCCGTCGGCGCCCGCGCCCGCGCCGCCCCCGCCGCCCGCCGCGCCGCCCGAACGGCGTCAGCGCCTCGTCGTCCAGCGGCGCAGCGGCTTGAAGCTGCCGGCCAACAAACGAACAAACACTATTTAGATTTATGTGGATGTTTGTCTGTGCGAGTAAATAAAAAGTAAATGATAAAAGTAAATGAATAAAAGTAAATGAATGAAAGTAAATGAATGAAAGTAAATAATGAAAGTAAATAAATAAAAGTAAATAAATAAAGTAAATAAATAAAAGTAAATAAAATAAAAGTAAATAAATAAAAGTAAATAATAAAGTAAAAATAAAGTAAATAAATAAAAGTAAATAAATAAAGTAAATAAATAAAAGTAAAATAAAATAAAGTAATAAAAAAGTAAATAAATAAAAGTAATAAATAAAATAATAAAGTAATAATAAAGTAAATAAATAAAAGTAAATAAATAAAGGTAATAAATAAAAGTAAATAATAAAGTAATAAAATAAAAGTAAATAAATAAAAGTAAATAAATAAAAGTAATAAATAAAAGTAAATAAATAAAGTAAATAAATAAAAGTAAATTAAATAAAGTAAATAAATAAAAGTAAATAAATAAAAAGTAATAAATCAATAATATTAAAATATATTTTCTTTATTGATGGCGAGGCTCATTTACCCTGCTCTTCCGCCTGACCATAATACGGAGCATTTAACCACAAAATCCAGTAAACGTATAGCTGGTTGACAGTGTTACTCTTCGATGGACTACCGTTGTATGTACCGCAGAAGGTCCCTGGCCAATGTTGTTAGGCGTAGGTAGTTCGGCTTGAGGGCTACGTTTGATTGAGGTCTCAATAATATCAACTTACCTGTTTTATTATTGAACATAACAATGTCAAATCGATTACTGATGACTGTTCTGTCTGTGAGAATTTATATCCAGTACAGCTTCAAAACAAAGATTCTCCAAAACACTATTATAGCATAGTACGGAGCTTCGCGCTTCAGATGTGTGCTACTTCTGACCCAATTTTTGGTGTATTGTATCAGTAGTGCAGCATGCCTACTCGTGTAATTCTCATCCTGGAAATGTGTGCACCGATGTAATGGGCTGTTTTGGTACAATTGTCCGCAACCGGTATCATTGTTCACACTTAGATCATGCAGAAAATATTTTTCTGTATTGAAAATTACAAAGGTTGTATGACAATCATAAACTTCATCAATCATCCGTTTCAGGGAAGATCTGCCCTGAAATGAACCCGACGTTTGACGACGTGTTGACATGAATACTTCCCTGATTTCATAAATATGTTTTACCATGTCTAACTTCACGTTTTTGCAGAATACTGTTAATTATTATTATTATTATTATTATTATTATTATTAATTATTATTATTATTATTATTATATTATTTGAGGTCGATTCACATCGAGGCGCATCTTTGGGTTCTCGGTTAGATGATCGAGATGGCGGTAGCGTCGCCAGGAAGGTTTGTTGACAGAGAGAAAGAAGAGACCGATCGCGAGTGGCAATTAAAACGTGCAAACTTGGTTAACGTAGAATTTGTAAAGTTACAGAGTACAGCTTATATACAAATTTTGAACAATATTATTGTTTTTTTTTATTTCTCTCCATATTATTATTGGTTTTTCATTATTTTTATTATTATTATTTATTTTATTAGTTTTTTATTAGTTATTATTAGTTTTATTTATTTTTATTTATTTTTATTTATTTTATTTATTTTATTATTATTTTATTATTACTTTATTATTACTTTATTATTACTTTATTACTTTATTACTTTATTATTATGGTTATATTACTGTTATTATTAAGCCATTTTTGCCTTGATTTTGAATATCCTTTTTCCGTGGTCATGAGCGAAGTGTGGGTGGCGGGGGCCTCACCTGGCGTAGGAGTTGCGGGTCGACGCTGGGCTTGGGCGTAGGGCCGTGGGCGGGGCCCGGGGCGCGCAGGGGGGCGGGGCGCGGCTAGCGGCGGCGGCGAGGGCGCGCCGGCAGCAGGCGAAGGAGGCCAGCAGCGCCTGCAGGTCGTCGCTCAGGGACGGCGCCGCCGCCGCCGCGCCGCCTCCACGCCCACCGCAGCGGGCGGGCGCCGCGGGTGCCGGCGGGGGCGTGGCCGGCTCCTGCAACAGCCGAGCGAGCACGTCAACGCGTGGCGATGGTTGTCGAATTAGAATGTCTATGTCCACACGAATTGGGGGTTTGAACTTTTATTGAAACTCGAATCCTAAATGTGAAGGTGTTGCATAACGAATATCTGCACATTGGACATGTAGGAGATGGGGTGGAGTCGAATATTATCACATTTAGCCTACGAACGTCTAGTGGGAAATACCACTAAATTGCACCAGTGACGTTTATCTAAAGTGATAGGAAACGTGTCATACGGCGAGAGGGAGCTTGGCCGGCTCCTGCAACAGCCGACCGAGCAGTCAACGCGTGGCGATGGTTGTTGAATAAGAATGTCAGGTGTCCATGTGAATTGGATTTTTGAATATTTATTGAAACTCGAAACGTAAATGTGAAGATGTTTCATAACGAACATCTGAACATTAGACATGTAGGAGATGTGGTGGAGTCGAATATTATCACATTTAGCCTATGAGCGTCTAGTGGGAAATATAAAACAAAGATCCACTAAATTGCACCTGTGACGTTTATCTAAAGTGATAGGAAACGTATCATACGGCGAGAGGGAGCATGGCCGGCTCCTGGTACAGTCAAGCGAACACGTCATCACATGACAATTATTGTCAAATAAGAATGTCAGAGGTTCATACGAATTGGATTTTTTGAACTTGTTGAAACAAAGTATAAATGTAAAGGTGTTTCAGAGTGAACATTTGAACATTGGACATGTAGGAGATGTGGTGGAGTCGAATATTATCACATTTTGCCTATGAACGTCTAGTGGGCAATGTTATATAACGAAAGTCCACTAAATAGCGCGTGTGACGTTTCTTCAAAGTGATAGGAAACACATCACCCCGCGATCGGTTTCTTGGCCGACTCCTCGAACAGCCAGGCGAGCACGTAATCACATGACAATTATTGTCCAATAAGAATGTCAGATGTCGATACAAATTTGGTTTTTGAACATATTGAAACTCACAACATAAATGTGAAGGTGTTTCAGAATGGAAATCTACACATTGGACATGTAGGAGATGTGGAGTCTAATATTATCACATTTAGCCTATGAACGTCTAGTGGGAAATGTTATATATCTGTGACGTTTCTCCAAAGTGATAGGAAACGCGTCGTACGGCGAGACCTGCTCCTGGAACAGCCGAGCGAACACATCATCACGTCACAATTATTGTCAAATAAGAATGTCAGATGTCGATACAAATTGGGTTTTTGAACATATTGAAACTCGAAACATGAATGTGAAGGTGTTTCAGAGTGAACCTTTGAACATTGGACATGTAGGAGATGTGGTCGAGTCGAATATTATATTTAGCCTATGAACGTCTAGTGGGAAATATTATATAACGAAGATCTAAAATGCTAAACTGCATCTGTGACGTTTCTCCAAAGTGATAGGAAACGTGTCATACGGCGAGAGGGTGCATGATCGGCTCCTGGAACAGTCGAGCGAACACATCAACACACACAGAATGGGCAGTGTCCAATTGTTACGTGGTCGTTCAAATTTGGGTTTTTCACCCTGTGTGAGTAAATGTGCAGGTATCTTTTAATAAATGTTAAAATCTTCTAGAACAATATAGTGGAGTAGGTCATTACATTTCTACTACCAACGTGTGGCGGGAAATGTCATTTAATGAAGCTGCACATATGACATTTTCTCACATATGTGGTAGTAAACTCATCATGTCTTAGGCGGGAGCTTAGATGGCTCGTGAAACAGACGAAAAAACACGTCAACAAAGACCGAATGTGGATTGTCCAGTTGTTAGGTAGTAGATCAAATTGTATTTTTCAGCTTGTGTAAAATCAAAGCATAAATCTGCAGGTGTTTCATAACGAATCACAACCTTTTAGTCTATCACGACCTAAAAATCACCACATCCCTAAATTTTCTGACATTAACCCATGTGAAAATTCCTGCATAAGACTGGTGGTCATTTATTCCTTGCCCGTCGCAGGGGTCGGCAATATCTTTCATTGTTTCAGAACCTGACCTGCAAAACGCCAATGCGTGTTTTGTGAAAATAAATTATCCGCTTTATAACCATACTAAATACCGTGCTATGATATGCCGTGCTCAATCACTCGTGTATGAGGTATTAATTATACTGATTTCAATTATGAGCGTATCTTCTAGTTATAATTAGCTTTTTGTGCACTGCTGTTATGGTGGCCCGTTCTTCCTTTGATTTCGAACTGTTATTCCTAATTAGCGTGGCGATTGTCGTTTTTTATATATCGAAAACAATGGCACGTATGTTAACATTCGAATAACACTGCTTCATTTTTTAACCTCACTTTAAATTTCTTAGTGTTAATTATACAATTTAATTATTCGTCTGTTTATGAAATTACCTCAATATAATCAAATATTTCCGAATAATTTTTTATCGAAAATGCATACGGAAATTAAATTCCAGGAGGGGAAATCATATTACCATACTTGTTAGAATTTTGTCACCATTTAAAATTATGCAACCGATACTGCACCCCGTTGCCTACTTCATTTCCATTTGTTCACAGCTGGCTGTGAATTTTGAAGAGTATCTCGTATCGAGTGTTCAGTATTGATAAATGCATAACAAACAGCACCCATAAAAGAATGTGTTGGAGAACATGGTACGCATGAATTAACTAGCAAATTCATTTTCAATGTATCGATGCAGCGACTCATCAATAAATGTTGACCCAATCAATAAGGCAATGAATGGGAAATCATCTGTAGAGAGGAATGAAAGTGAATGAGATGGACCGGCAGAGAAATTAATGGAATGCGCTGTTCGAAAATAAAATGGTGCGACAGAATGAAACGGATGGTAAAGTGGCTTTGTTAATGGAGAATGGAAACACTTTTCACAAATGCACATGACGCTTTACTGAGCAACATTTTGTGGAATGAAAAAAAATTGAAATTTGCTTGATTACTTTAGGAACAAAGGTTTTGAGTTCCTCTTTTTGAGCAAATAATGTCTCGAGACAAATAACGTTAATGATAATTAAAAGATAATACCTGAGTTACATGAAACAGTAACAAAGATTAAGAAGTATATCTACACATTTTACATTTTCTTCCTTAACACATCGGTTTTTGCATTAGACATTTAGCTTTATATCTCTTAACTGATTCACGCAATTCATTTATTGTCTTATTACACTAATTATTCATTAATTAAGTTATTATAGATACTTTCAATCTATTGTAATAATAACATTCATTCATGCCTAGTGCCTTCTGTACTTTCATTGTGTGATTATTTTCTATTCTCAAAGTTGTTCGTTCATTACTACTGTCATTTGTTTATACATTGTGTAGTTCGTTTTTTCGTTCATTTTTTTTAATTTTTTGCGTCTCCATAGACGCAGTGCGTCTCCAAGCCCCTTGCAGAGCGTTGAGCGCTTTAAATAAAAATGAAAATGAAGTTGTTCTTTATTCGCTCTTGAGGTTTTGCTATGTGTAGTGTTTTGGAATTGAAGAAACGCAACTGAATTAAAATTAGCCTCATAAGCTTAGAAAA